TAGGCTTTTATTATACAATTACCCTGCCTTATTTAAGGAATGTATTCATTTTTTGTTTTCTTGGGGTTTTTTTCTTACACCCAAAAGATCCATTAAGGAAGAAAAGATGGAATAAGTAGATAATGTCATTTGATCAGTAGCATTAGGGGCTGCATTGCAATGCTACCTGGAAGCAATAAAAATAGAGATTTTTTGTTTGTTTTTCCTGTTAATCATGTAATTGTAAAGAAAATAAATCAAATATTAGGAAATAAGACCTTTCAGGGGCAGCTAACAATTAAGGATGCAGCCTCAGAATACAGGAGATAGTATTGGGTTTGCGGGATATAAAATGTGTGTGTGTGTGTGGGGGGGGGGGAGACACGAAAGTAAGAGCATTAGAATGACTGGCAGCTGGCAGAAGTTGTGTTAAATGAATGCAGGGAAACGAGGGAGGCAACACAGAGGTCAGAAAAGAGTAAGCTGTTCATGGCAACAAGCAAAATAAATGAGGAACTCAAAACAGAGGTAAGAAGATTGAAGGAAGGGGCAGAAAGGATGAGCCTCAGCTGATTAGTTCAGCAGAATAATTAATAGATTACAGCAAAGCTTCCACGAGCAGCAGGCAGGGGAGCTAGGCATGTTTCTTTCAAACCTGATGACATCTCTACATCGATGGGCTCTTGAATGGAGGTAAGATTCCTTGCCAGTTCCATCTGCTTCGCATCTGCCCCTGCTTATCTTGGTGGTCCAACACCAAGCGCATCTGCCCCTGCTTATCTTGGTGGTCCAACAGACTCTTCAAATGAGTAATGAGACTTTTATAGTACTGCCAAAGCCAGCTATATTCTTACCCAACCGGATCTGGAATTGGAACTAGTAATCTGCCACTCTGTTTAGCCAGGTCTCAAGGGAAATGCTTGATTCTGCTCCACTGTGGACCTGACTAGAAGACAAGTAGTTGGCTAGTCACTCCTAGTGGCTAGCCAATTAACTACGGTATAAGCTTGCAGTGACCTAGGTGGAAAAGCTTCTCCAACTAATGAACTCATTATCTGACAGCTTGAACATCTCCAACCTCTCAGGAGAGCAATTGCGAAGTGGAAGAGCTACCAATTTAAAGGTGCAATAGCTACCCTTATTCCCTTGAGTGATTACTATATGAGAGTACAGAAGTAGTAGGTAAAGTGTGCATGACGGTTAAATAATAGGTAGCATAAGAAACATTCAGATAATTGATTTGTAGTTCCTCATCTATCTTCTGTCTTTGGCCTTGCCAGCTCAGCCAATGTTCCCGCAGACTTACTGAGACAATTTGCTTTTCCTCCCACCATATAAAGCATTCTTATCAGTAAAAATTGAAGGGGAAAATATACTGTTATTTTTTGTCCCAAATCCATTTACAGTCTACAGTTATCCTGCTATAGCTTTTGCTTCTCTTGTGCTTTTTTTTAAACTATCTTTCTTTACCTTCCTTTGTTCTTCTCCTACAATCTCACTATACAAATGTACAAATATCATCCTCTTCCAACAGCATCCTGGTTATAGGATACCAGCCCTTGTCCTCACCTCCATCTGCCCTGATATTTGAGTAATATCCACACAACTATTTTTTAAACATTCTTCTGAAATTGTAGTTTGTGAGAGAAAATCTGCAGGATTACGTTCTCTCCATGTAGCAGCTTCCAAATAAGTTGGCACTAAAGCTCCCATGATCAATAGATATTTGGTACAGAATATAATTTAACATATTTGAGAAGTACTGGGATGAGCAAGCTTGACCTAGATCAGTGATGGCGAACCTTTTAGAGACTGAGTACCCAAAAACCGCCCCCCACCCCCGTCCCTGCTCTGCCCTGCCCGCTGGGCCACCCACCACCTCCACGGCCTGCCACAGATCACCCAGGCAGCCCAGCAGCACCATGGTGGCCACGCCCTCCACCCACGCCCTGCAGCATCATCTGCATGCAATGGGGCGCAATGGCGGAGTCTTATCCCTGCTACCCAGCTACTATGTACTTGGCTCTGCTGGTTCGCATGGGCCACGCCCGGGGGCAACTCTCCTCCGGGGGGGCTGCTGGGGAGGAGGGGGCCATGGGAGGAGGCGGGGCTGGGACGACGGTGCGTGTGCCCATAGAGAGGGTTCCGAGTGCCACCTCTGGCACACGTGCCATAGGTTCGCCACCACTAACCTAGATTCTGTAACAAACTATTCTCAGCACCTCATCAGAAGCAATGACCAATTTAAATGGCACATAAAACCAATGGTCTTAGGGTGAAAACATAATGCTATTAAGATGATTGCACCTTTAATATTAAAAAAGGGTGCTATGATTTAAGCCAGGCTTAAGAAGAGTAGAATCCTAAATGTCCTCTTCAATCCTTATCTTTGAAAAGAATCTGAGAAATAATGACAGTCATTTTTACCATTATTATTGCTCCATATGTTATACACTTGAACTTGCACTTTGAAAATAGGTGCCAGAGCTAATCTTTAATTCAAATCTGATTTGAGATAAAAAAAAAAATAACATATACCTGAATTGAGCAGGTTGCAGACAAGGTCTAATCTACAATTTGCAGCAGAATGGAATGGTAGAGTGACAGAGGAGATTGTACCATCTCTGAAGAGCATGTAAATGCATGATGTTATTTTTAAAAGCTACCCAGTATAACAACCAAATACATCCTGCAAGTAGGAAAACATCACACCAAATAAAAAATGTTTTCTCTCAACTTTCTTTTTTACTTCTTTGCTTTTTACCTCTAGTGCTTCCCAAACCTGGGCAAATTACCCAAAATTGGGTAGATGTTTTTCTTCTGATAGCGACATATGAATCCATTACCCATCACAACATTTACATTGATTTAAAGATTGTCATGCATACTAAAATATATTCAAAAATCTCCCAAAGTATTCCTCCTATTAAGACAAAAATCATTGAAATTACTAACGGCAATTGACTGAAATGACATAGATATCATTCAGTGATCTTGTTTTTACAAATTACGACCATTTATTCAGTGTCTATTTGACGTTACAATGGTGCTGAAGGAAGGGACTTATGAGCAGTCCTCAATTTGATAAGTGGTTTTGGATAATGAAAGAAAAAAAATAGGAAGCACTTCTAGAGAGTTGATCTTATGTCTAGTTTTTAACGCTGATTATTAAACCAGCCCAATGAATTGATCATACCAAAATATAATCATCATTCTGTGGCATGCTGGACAATCTCAAGGAACTTTGTGATCCTGGATGATAATTTTGAGTTTGTTTCTAGTTCTGTACTGTACTATTTAGATTCTGGTTGGAAATGATGGGGGTTGTAGTCACAATGTGCCTGAGAAGCATTAGATGATGGAAGTCTTCCAATAGTAGTGAAGCATGTTCCTGATATAGGTTCGGCTTTTTTTGTGGGGCAGTAGGAAAGTGAAAGCTTGACATTGTGGTAATGAGGAAAGGGAGAAAAATATTAAAAGGCAGCAGTAAATGTAACCTCTGGGGACTGGTGCAAATGTAAATATCAATATTTCCTTCATTCAAAATGCATTTTATGTTGTTTTTACATATTCTACTTATACCTAATTTTTCTTCCAAGAATTTTTGAACAATCTACTCACCCCCATTTTATCCTGATAATAATTCTGTAAGGAAGAATAAGCATTGCAAATGGCTCAAAATCATATATGGCTGATAGAGGACTTGAACTTGGGTCTTCTCAGATAAGTCCAACTCTTTGATGATTAGACTTCATTTGACCAATCATCCCCCAGGCAAACTTTATTGTGAGGAAAGCATGAAGCATGGCAAGCTCATTTCTACTCCACACAGCAAGAGAGTGGTGTTCTTCCTGTGATTATCATTTGCCTGACTTTTCAAATATATAGATACAGTTTTTCTGGGAACTCGAAGTGTGCATGGGCACAGGCAGTGTCATCATCTCAACAATAAACCCTGAAATAATTGAACTGAGCAATAATGATGGGCTTATTATGGACTTCAATCTAGTCTTCCCAGCCCCAATCCAACAACTTAACCACTGCATCATATCGTCTCTTACGTGTTGCGGATTTTGTGTATAACAATTTTTGCTATATGAAAATGTGTTTCTGTTTTATTTGTTAGATTTACGGTACACCCTACTTTTTCTCCAGGAACCTAAGGAGCTTAGCACTCCTTTCTCCAATTTATTTCCTATCAGTATGAGAGGCAGATTGTGCTGAGAGAGAGTGACTGACCCAAACTAACTATTGTATTGTCTTCTGCGTAGGCATGTTCAGCTGTCTTTTGTTTTGAAGATGTGGGTTGATTTCTGAGGCTTTTACCTTTGCAATAGGAGGTTGGTGTGAAAAGGACTGTACAAATCCCTCTCCACTCCCTGTTTCTGGAGTATTGCTGTCCTGTGTGACGGGGGGGGAGGGGGGAACTATAACACTAATGCAGTATGTAAGACTCAGCCTTCACAGCCATCAGCACAAGAGAAGCTGCCAACTCATTCCTCTCTGGAACATTAGCTGATATAGTTTGGGCGCACTGTATACTCACCCTTTTTATTTGTATGTCCGCACAGGACTCATTCAGACACACGTGTGCCTTCTAATGTATTTGTTTCCTTGCCTCTCGAGTCCCAGGCTGCTGCATCCACCCAGGTTTGTTTTCTTTCTCTTTTCTTCTCCTTCCTCACAGTAGCCCTCCGCAGCGGTGGGAACACCAGAGATCTCACTTGTGCCTGCTGCAGGCTCAGCTGCTGCAGAGCTGGCTGCAATGGCTCAGCAAGAGTGAGGAAGGAGGGAGGGAGGGGGAGTCTGGCTCCGGGAAGCTCTGGAGATGGATGAAGAGAGAGAGAGAGAGAGAGAGAGAGACAGAAAGAGAAAAAGAGGGAGGGAGGAGAGAAGCAAGGGGGCAGCTGCAGAAGCTCCTCCTCCCCACGGGCAGCACCAGCCCAGCCCTGTTGTTCTGTCACTGAGCAAACGGCTGCGATGGCAGGAACTCCCCCCCCCAGCCCCCTTTCACTGCCTAGGAAGTACTGTCCCCTCGCTAGATGGCTGGCATAGTGAGTGACGGAGCCCAGCACAGCCGGGCGGCACCATGAGAGGTGGGAGCCAGCAAGGCTGTGCTTGCCACCACTTGTTCCGCAAAGTCCTGGCCAAGTGCAGCTGCTGCCCCTCTAGGGCACGAGGTGAGTGGGATTCCCAACACTGTTTTTCTCCTCTCTCCAGCTCCCCCCCCCGCCTCCCCCTCCTCTCACTTAGGTACCGCAGCCTTTATGCTGCCATTCTTCTTAAACGCCTCTCTTTCACCCATCCCTGCTTGAATGCCACCTGGCCAGTACCAGCATCATTATCCAAAGTGGGCATCACCAACCAGCAGGATGGCATGGGCGTTGTCGTCCCTGCTGAATAATATCACCTGGCCTGGGATACCTTCCCTGGCCATCCCTGCCGCTTCCTTCTTGTCAGATATTAATATTATTTTATTTCAGCACACCATTTGCCATTGAATCATCCCTATGCCTAACATAGAGAGGCATTTTTTTTTTCCTGTCTGGTTCCTTCGGTGCTTCACAGGTGCCATGGCTTCCCTGAATGAGTATGAGTTTGCTCTCCAGGTGTTGGCATATGGGATGGGACCTGCTTTCTTTAACATGGTTTGTCACATTCTTGTACTACTCTGGTGCTTTCTGCTTACCAAACAATTAGATGGGGACAAGTTACCTCGCATGCCTGTTTCCTGTGGCCATGCTACAGGGGGCACTAATGGGGCAGAGTGACACAGCATGGGGAGGGGTAGTTTGGAAAAGTTTGTGGCAAGTGTCAGAGGTGCAACTGGAGACCGAATGGTCCAGTATCGTGACTTTCAGGTCAATTTTTAGTGGCTGTTAAAGAGATGAATTTTTCTAAAATATACGAACATGCGTAATCTCCAGAAGAATGAACTCTGTTGTTTGTAATACTTTAGCATCTGTATTTAGAATTTCAGATATGAGTTGGGACCTCTATACGAATCACTGTAAGATCCCTATTTATATCTCTCATTGCATATATCTGGTTCTGCATTCAGGTTGTACATGTGAGCAGAAGGGACGGCTTGTGGGAGGCTATATGTACAGAAGTCTGGCTGTGGGAGAGAGGAACAGAAAAAAAAATGGATGTGGGGGAGGCTGTGCATGCATGTCGGAATATGTGGCTGTGTATCACTGCACGCATGATTGCATTTCTCCTGCAGTCTGTGAATATGTGAGGCTGCCTGTGTCGGTGGACTGTGTTCTGCATACAAACTTGAGAACAGAAAGCACTCTCTGCATGAGCAGAGTTTTAAAATGCTAAAGAAGAAGAGAGAGAGGTGATAAATACCAGGGAGGCATGTTTGGGAGCTGTCTTCCCTTGAGTTTTCTGCTACTTGGCACTGCCTCCTTCCCCCCCCACCCCATCCTCCCAATTTCCAGCCAGTCTTCATTGCCCAAATGTCTAAGATTGCGGCTCACAGCAGTAGTAGTAATGATGAAAATTAAAGAATCAGAGAATTGGGGTTGAAGGTGATGTTATGGGACGAGAGATCTAGGCTCCAAGTGTTAATCCTGATTCAGTGAGTAGGGGCGGAAGGCAAGGTCCATCTCTTTGTATATATGTTTTTAATCCCCTTATGCTTGAAACTTACTACAAAAGGCTACCACTCTTGATTCTCCTTCCCCAAATCTTATCTAAGCCTCCTTTTTTCTGTACTGTTTTGGCTTAAAAGCCAGGTGCCTGTACCCAACTGTTAGAAAAGAACCCTGGTTACATGTAACTACCATTCATTACCAGTATTCCTTGTTATCTCTACATCTCCCCTAGTTTTTCCATCTGTTGACATTTAGACTGTAAGTTCCTCAGTGCAGAGAGAACTGCTTTTTTTTAAAAAAAACAAATGTAGCTCAAGACAAACCCATGTGTTTGGATATTTCTTATAAAAATAATAACGACGTGTGGGTAGCAACTGGCTGTGTTGTTGGCTTTTTATACTTCTCATTTTCAGGGAATTTTTGTAGGTTAACTCTTTTCTACCAAGGATCCTGCAGAGGATTCTGAGCTGTGTGTCTGAAATGCCATCAGGCCATGGAGAACTTGAAAGTTCCAGTGGACCCACATTGTAGTACACTCCAAAACAAACCCCGCACTCCCCTGCAGACACAGGCTAGGGAATATAATGTTAGGGAAACCCTCTTATTCAGTATTCCCACCTGTCTCGTTGAGAATTCCATGATAAAATGATTAAGAACCCCCAACATTGTTTTGAAATCATTGAAGTCCATTGGGCGTACATACTGTACATTAATACATTTACTGACATATGAAAAAATGCACACCTGATTTTGATTCTATAGTATATATGGACTCTCAGTTAGGCCTACTCACATCTGACTCCTTGTCTTTTCTTTTGTGCTTTACATGTACACGCAAATAATTCTGCCCAGTAATACATTCCTTATTGTTGTTTTCTCTCTGGGTACCCTCTTCTTCCCTTCCACTTAGGTAAGCTGAAGCCTGCCAGTTCTCAGTCATGTACAGTAGCTACATAAATAATAGGTTAGAGAGGGCAAGCTGTGGGTTGGAATCTTGTTGCCAAATGGGTACCTGTGCTGCTCCAAATCCTGCATTCGGATAATGTTCATTTTAATGGCTGCTCCTTTTTCTGGGTGTTGACTATTCATTTGGGTGAGAGACAGATAATTTCAGATCCTGACCACAGCGTTATCCACAGCCTATCTCAAACCACCCTTAAGCTTTTAAAAATGGCTAGTCTGGGGATCTGTTATACCATAGGCGCTTATATATAGATTTTCCCAGCAACAGTCACTGGCTTCAAAATGGTGGATGCAAAAGAGCTATTGAAACCCTGCTCTGTTTATGTGCAGGTAATGTGTATGACACGTGTTGAAGGGAGAGGCCCTTGTTTATATGATTTAGAAATAGTTAAAAAGTCCCACTGAGGCCATGCTATATATGTAAGCCTGAGGAGTTCTTGCTGCTGTCTGAGCTTGGTTGTTTTCTTGCAGACATTTCATTACCCAAACTATGGTAGGTAACATCATCAGTACTACATATGTAAGCCTGCATATCATTTAAGGAAACTAACTGCAAAAACTGTGAGGAAGATGTAGTGTTTTGTTTATAGTGTTTCTCCAGTTTTTGTTTAATGGACTACCTTTCCAAAGTCATCCATACATATTGGATGTAGCTCCCATTACCCCAAGCACTCTCCATAAAATTACGATTCCATGTCCATGGATTAGGGATTGTGACAATTGAACAGTTCTTAAATTGGTAGTGCAGACCTTATTTGGAAAAAAATGATTTGTTTTCTAGAACAGTTTTTGGTTTTTTTTTTGTTTCCCCGTGTTGCATTACAATTGTTCACATCTCTGTAATAAAATTGGAATTGTATTTTCTATTCATGAGCAAACATACTGCTAGTTTTATCCTACTGATCAAAATTTTCAGGCCTCACACTTATGAACACGATTCATCGAAAACATAAAGTCGCAGTGCAATTTGTCTGATTGTGGTATAGTTTGTTTTCTGAACCCAATCACTGTGATTTATATGCTATGGTTTGTAGCTTTCATGTTATGTGAGCCAAGCCAGCGGTCATATCTATGATGATTAAGCAAAACATGGCTTAGTTTGACACATGAATGTAATCATTAACGTATTCACTAATGTCTGGTCTCTTTTTGTTGGGCCTCCAAGGCTTGCTGGTTTATTCTTCTGGTTTGATGGGCCTGGAATTAGGCCTCTTGGGGCCTAGAAGCAGCTGTAATAATGACAGGGGTCTGGTGAAATTGGAATAGAGGTTATGGGAGCAAGCATGACTTTTGTCCTCATATCTGGGAGCACAGCTGAGATTTGAGTGGTGAAGCAGGAACTAGTCAATAATTCCCCTTCTTTTGTTCTCAGATCAAAAGTGGATTTGTAAGGACCTTTTCCCACAGTCAAATGGAAGTGTTAAAATATACATTGCTTGCATATCTCCAAGCACCCTTATTAACTATGCAGGCAGCAAAAAAGGCTTCCGTGCTGGAGGGAGAATCTGTATCAGACCTTTTCTTTATTCAGGTCTCCCTTCCTGCCAAAAAAAAAAGAAGTGCTTTGAGTCATGTCAAGAGTGCCTCTCCTCCTGACACAAGTAATTGCAGCTGGTTCTAGTGTACTGAGGGATTAGGAAGCAAAGCTTTCCAGAAGACCTTTTTAAGCACCAAGAAGGATTGGGATGCCCTCTCGACTACTTCTCTCCACAGGATGTTTCTTGAGAATCTGATCCTGAAATAAATGCTGGCCGAACCCCAAAACCTGCAGCTGGCTGATCCCGTTATCAACAGTGCCTCCAGTCCACCAGATATGATTGGTGTTGCTCTCAGATTGGTGGTAACCAATTGCACTGCTCTGCCCTATCCAGGCCTACTTTCCTCTCCCTCCTCCTGGCCTTTGCAGGCAGGCATGGAAACATTTTGCAAGGCAAATGCTACAAATGGGATGAAAACAGTAGTAAGGCCTACTATTAGGCTCAGTCCAAGTCAGATGCCACTCAGGTTCTGACTGGAAGTGCTTTTATCCTTGTCAGTGAGGAAGGAATAAAAAGAAGATAGTTGCCTCAAGCTGGTGCACAGTGTCTTTTTCTCCTCCACGTGGTAAGAATGGAGCGCTGCACTGGGACAGCAAGAAGTCTCAGGTCAGATTCTGGGTGGCTTTTCAGCAGACTTGAGGTTTGAGGAATCCCAGAATGGGATTTTAGATCCCATTCTGGAGAGGGCGCCCATGTGCACTTAGGCATCCTGCCTCAGCTCCTAACAGACAAATAGGGAACTAAGCCAGGGAGTCTAAAATGGTAATTTATCATCAATCCAAACTTTTCCCTTGGTGGAATTTGACTTTGAGGAGGGCAGGTCAAGAATTCAAGTTGTCATATTAGTGAAGTGTTTGAGCCGCCCTTCTGTTCTTGGAGCACGGGGGAAACAAGAGCAATGATTTCAGGCCCTAAAAATGCAGGGGGAGCTATTTGAAATGATCAGTTGTGACAATTCATCAATATTGTTTAAATCCAAGAGTTATTTTAATAATTGTAAGCCACCCAGGTTTGCTTTGGATAGTCAGGAGGGTGGGATAGAGACTTAACACATAAAATTGTGTTTCTTGGGCCATT